TGGGGCCCCTTCTCGTCGTCGACGGCGGCGATGATGCAGATGGCGGCGAGGGCGCGCAGGCTCGCGCGCTGCGTGTAGACCTGGCAGATGTCGCCGACGCGCTTGGCCAGCGAGGCGACGGGCATCGCGTAGCCGTACTGGAACTTGAACTCGGACGCCTCGTAGCGGAGACGCGTCGCCTGCGTCTTGCAGTCCGCCGGCGCGCCCGTCATGAGCACGGCGAGATAATCCGTGACCTTGTACAGGTTCGTGACGGAGCTCGGGTCGACGAGGCGGTCGGGCACCTTCTTCTGCGTGACCAAGACGCACGAGTCCCTGCCGCGCACGGCGACGGACGTGAGGCCCGACGTCGTCTGGGCGCACTTGATCGCGTACTCCACCTGGTAGAGCTTGCCCGCGGGCGAGAAGATGGTGATGTGGTGGTCTGCGGGGGCGGCGCGCGCGGGGGCGCGGGCGGTGATGACGACTCGCGCGCGGGGGCGCGGGCGGAAATGACGCACCGAACCCGCTATCCCGGCTCATCTTTGCGAGCGCGGCCGCCGACGAGGCTCAGAGGCGAGTTGCCCGCGAGGAAGAGGGCCCTAGCAGCTCAGCAGCACACTCTTGAGGCAAAAGCTTATGGTTCTGCGCGTATCGAGTGTGCGCGCGCGACGCGTGGCGCACGCCGACGGCCGGAGACGATTGCAGCAGCATCGCTACGACGTGCGCGACGCGCGACGCGATTGGGGCGACCCCGTTCGACCAGGGGGCGGCGCGCGACGACTTGCAGGACGGCGACGCCATGAAGAGCACGCCGTCGAGCGCTGGCGCCGCGACCGCCGCGCGGCACCGCTTCGACACCTTCTCCAGCGTCCGCGGGACCGAGATGCCCCCCGCTCGGGGACACGGGGCGCCCCCGCGAGCGCCACTTCATTTTTTGGCAAAGAAACGAATGCTCGCACCCACATGACCTGGAAACGAATGCTCGCACCGAGAGAGGTCCCGCGCGCGCTGCGATCCAGGCGCGCAGGCCGCGCCGGCTCGAGCCATCGTGCTCGCCGGTGCGCCGGTTCGCGCACCTTGGCCTCTGGTCGAGTGCTGCGCATGCGCGCACTGCATGGCGATGCAGTGCGCATGCGCGCGGTCAGCGGACGCGCAAGCGATGCCTCGC